CTGGGGGCCTGCCCCCTCTTATGCCCAGCCTATCCAGGTGTTCACTCACCCAACCTCTGGGCCCATGCCCCCTTCCCTGGCAAAGGCTCCTGAGAGCCCTCCCCAGCCTGGACACTGCCTGGATGGGCCCCTCAGACCAAGCCTGGCCACCGAGGCAGATGCCAGGGCGCACCTCCTCCTCCACTGCCGCCCCACCAACCTGCTTGTCCTGGGCCTCGGGGTCCGGGTTGACAAGCTGCCCCTGGGACGTGAGCGCCCCCAATGGGGGCTTAGTGGGCAAGACTGCCCAGTCCAGGGCGTGGAGGCCATGCCTGGCTTCTCCCAGGTGCAGGATAACCTCAGGAGGACTGTGTGGCTGATGCATGGGGAGCTGGGCATCGCAGACCCCGATGGGGTTGAGGAAAGGAAGGACAGAGGCGGCCCTGGCCAGCAGGGGGCAGCACAGACTGTCCGCAGAGCTGAGGAGCTGGCGAAGGAAGACGGGCCCAGGACCCCGGCTGGCTCACCCGTCCCACCTAGGGTGCCCACCCATGATGGGGACCCCCGAGTGAGACCAGATGGGGACAGCAGCAGCCAGGAGGTGGCTGGAAAACAGACCAGAAAGCCATGTCCCAAACAGCCCCAACCTCCCTCCTGCTTGGGGACCCTCTGGTGGGGGCCTGCCATGGGGGGGCCCAGGGACTGGGGCACCTGAGGGTTCTGGAGAGGAGGCTGCAGGGAGGAGGGGGACTGACGGGGCCCTGGGGCTTCCTGGAAGGGGCTGGAGGGCTAGGCTAGGAGTGGGCGAGGGGACAGTTCAGCCTAATGGGAGGCTGGGAGGGAAGGAAGGGGAGGAGAGACATTATTTAGGAGCTGGAGTAGGTGTTGGGGTAGGCGAGGGAGCAGCTGCCTGCAAGAAGAAGAGGAAGAGGGTTTGGGGGGAAAAGGTATCAAGTTTCTGGGCTCCTGCCCTCCCCCCAGCGTCCACAGCTCCCCCAGGCTACAGGATGGGGCTCAGCAAAGTGCCAGGCTCCACGCCCCAGGGCCCAAAATCCTTTGGATGCTCAGGCTGGGGCTCTGCCACCCTGGAGCTCCTCCCCCTTCTTGCCCCTCCCCCACCAGCCCACCCCAGGCCTGCAGGGAAGCCAAGTAGACAGGATGGCGGAGAGACTCAGGGAACAGGACTAGGTGGGTACAGCAGGGTGCCTGCCTCCTGATTACTTACTGTCCCAGCTTACAGTGAAGCACAAAGGGCAGACCCAAGACTCAGGCCTCAGAGCCTGGCTGCTGAGCCCTGGGCTGCCCCTGGAAAGGGGAGGCACCACTCAGACTTGGGGCAGGCCAAAACCCTAGTTTATTTCAGCATCAGCAACATCTCAGCCATCACAGAAGTTAACTCTACCAAGGGCGACAGAAGTCTCTACAGCAAGGTTAAGGGCTCAGCCACCAAATGGCGAGCCTCAGGGGTGCATGGTGGGCACTGCCCGGACAATAAGTTAGGAAGCAGCAGGGCTGGAGATGGCGGCAGATGCAGGCCAGGGCTTCACTTCTGGGCAGGCACAAGGTCATCGATGGCCTTGCCCTGCTCCAGCCGCTGCTCCATCTTAATGAGCAGCTTCACGCCGTCCACCACCATCTGCACCAGCTCCACCTCCGAGAAGCCCAAGCGGTCTGCGTTGGAGACGTCAAAGATCCCGCCCACGGCAGCCGTGTCCACACCGCCTGGGGAGACAGCCAGGTCAGCAGGCCTGGGTGGGGGAGGGTGGGCTGCTCCGGCAGAGAGGGGTGCCTGCAGGCGCCCCACCCCACTCACCTGTGCCTCGCTTCTGAAGCCGCAGCCGCTTGAGCACCTCCGGGAACTTCTCGTGCTTGCCCAGGTGGGGCAACTTGATGTGCACCCCTGCCCGCAGCCCTGTGCCCAGGTTAGACGGGCAGGTGAGGATGTAGCCCAGGTGAGGGTTCCACATGAATTCGTAGTTCTTAGACTTGAAGAGCGTTTCAATCTGGAGGTGGAGGTGTGAGAGGGGAGGCCTGGCTGAGACATGCCCCAGGGGACCAGCTGAGACCCGGGAGCCCCCCGGCAAGACCCTGAGGCAACTGAGACCTGGACTCCCCAGGAGGTTAATGGGGCACCTACATCTCTGCCTGAACCGGGGGGCCTGGCCCTGCCCCCTCCCTGGCACCCAGCCCCCACTGTGCCAGCCCAGGTGGCGGGGGCCAGGCCTGACCTGGGTGAGGCCATTGCAGAAGCGGGTGAACACCTCCTTCATCTTGCCTCCCTTCTGCATGGAGATGACCCGCAGGTGGTCCTCCTCATTGATCCACACCAGGAAGGTCTTATTGTCATTGTGCCTGGGGGAGGGGCACAGTCAAGCCTCCTCCCTGGACTGTGGTCTCAGGGCACATCCAGAAAAAAAACTCTAGGGGGTCCCCAGAGCAGAGGCACTTCCCAGGTCCCTGGGGTGCTCATCCCAGCTGTACCCAGGAGTGGGGGCCGCTGCCCGGACTCCAGCCCCGTCAACAGCCTGGGGGCACGGAGGGAGGCCAGGACAGCTCAGAGAGGGGACAGAAAGAGAGGCCTGAGCTGCTTCCCCAGCTTGCCCATCAGGTACTGTGTGGTCCCCACCAAGGGGATAAGGGGCAGAGGCAGCCAGCACAGCCCCCCTACAGGGGGATGGGCTGTAGCTGGGCGCGGAAGCCCCAGGATACACGCACAGTGTGAACAGGAGCTTGTAAGCCCTCCTCCCCCACCGCCCACTCGAGGAAGCGTCTGCGTCACCCAGCACCTGACTGACTCCCCGCGGGGAAGCGGGTGGGAAAGGAGAGAAAACAAGAAGCTCCAGCTCCCCAGAGGGGGGTGGAGGAGGAAAGCCAACACGACTGCTCCCCCCACCTCTAAGATCCTGAGAGGCTGAGGCCTCTACTAGCCGGGGTCCTTCACTTACCTTCGAGGTGAGGTCACCTGCAAGGAGGCCTGGGTGGCACCAAACCCATCCCAGGAGCGCGGCCCCTCCCTCTTCCTCCTCGGCCTCGCCAGGGAGAGGACGAAGTGGGGGAGTGGGGACCCGCGGGAGGGGGGTTGGGGAGTACGCACCAGATGCCGCGGGCATCCGGCCAGTCGCGGGCCATGCCTGAGGCCAGCAGCAGGGGCGACACAGGCTTATCGAAAAGGAAGTGGTCGTCGATGAGCTGCTGCTGTTCCGCTTCGGTCATGCTTTTGAGCGCATAGTACCTCCCCGCCAGGTCACCGTCCAGGCTCGACAGGGCTGCGGAGGGGCGCGCTCAGGAGGACAAACGGGTGGGCTCCTGTCCCACACCGCCACCACCCCTAGCGACACGGATCCGCCCCACCTCCCCATGCCCGCTCGGCTTGGCTGGAGTCCAGTCCTCCCGGTCTGGGCGGCGGGCCGAGCCGGTGACCCGGCCCAAGCCGACCCTCGCCGGGCCCCAGGACGCTGTAAGCGCGGGGCTGGGCCTCGGTCCCTCCGGGAAACCGGAGCCAGAGCGCAGATAAGAGCGCGGCGTCGGCGGCGGCTCGGGTGACTAGTAAACAAGCCGGCAGGGGCCGGGACCGGGACCGGGACCGTGGCCCGGCCGGCCCGACCCTTACCTTCGATGGCAAGCTTCTCGATGGCGCGGCGCTCCCCGCGGCTGCAGTGCGGGGGGAGGCAGAAGCCGCGGATGCTGCGGCCCGTGCGCACCCGCGAGCTCAGCACGTAGTTGGGGTCCAGGTCGTCGCCGCCCTGGGGGCCAAGCAGAGGTGAGCTCCGGGAGACCCCTCCCCAGGCCGACCCGCCGCCCCGGGCCGCCCGGCACCTGCAGGTTGTCGGGGTTGAGGTCGGTCTTGTGCTCGTCTGTGGGCTTATAGCCGCCGTGCCGATCCTCAATGATGGGGTCAAAGAGCTCCTTGAACACGTCGTACGACTCCTCGTCGCCAGCCACGCAGCCCACGGTCATAATATAGGGGTGGCCTGTGGGGGGGCCGCGGAGTGGGGACAGTGACGTCACTGCCAGGCCTCAGCGAGCCGCCGAGGACCCCGCGGCTGTGCGCGGGAAGAGGGCGCCCGGACTTTGGCCCGAGGGGGACTGGCATGGGGGGGGGGCTCTGGGCCCTAGCCGCGGGTTGTCCCGCGGATACGGCGCTGGCACCCTGACCCCGGGACTGGTGTGCGCGTACCTGGGTTGTCCACGCCAGTCTGGATGACGTCGTCCAGCGTGAAGCCGCTCGGCGTGCTCTTAGCGCGCAGCTCGGCGTACAGCTCGGGGGTCAGTACCTTGGCCATGTGATTGTTGTGGCCACTGAGGTCGGGGTACTCGTCCTCGGCCGGGAAGCGCAGCTTCAGCGTGTTGTGGCTGTTGGAGAAGGGCATGGCGGCGGCGGGCTGCGGGGAGACGCGGGGGTCAGCGGGCACCCGAGGCTCCGGGCCTCCTGGGGACCTGCTAACCACCCAGGGACCCGGGCACCGGTCGCCCGGGACGCGGCCAAGGTCAGCGGGGTCGGCACTGCGCGCAGGGGGCTACCACATCGCCCAGGACCCCCGGCCTGGCGCCCGCTCCAGGCGGCGGGCCCCTGCGTGCCGGGAGCGCGCGACGCCGCGGCCCCCGAGCCCCCTCCATGCGCAGCGCCCCTGCCCCGGTGCCCCACGACCCACCCCCACACCCCCGCCCTCGGGCCCACTCACTGAGCAGCCGGGCGGGGGCGGGGGTTCTCGGTCGGTCGGCAGCTCAGGGCGCGGCGCAGGCGAACAGCGGCCGCTCCGCGCTCCCGCGGCTCTTAAGGGGCACGACGCGGGCCTCCCATTGGCCGCTATTTATAGCCCATTCATTCCATTGGGCCGCGCTACGGGATTGTGACGTCGCTTTGTCCGCCGCACGCAGCCCCCCAGAGCCCCCCGCCCCAGGCAGCCCACCCCGACTATCCCCTCGCCGGAACCCCGCGCAGCCCGCCTACCCTACCCCACGCCCGCCCAGGATCCCGAAGCCGGAACCTCAGGCCCTTGGACATTCTGGATCCCCACCCCCACCCACCCCCCGCCTGTCTCCTAGCGGGAAACCGAGGCAGGAGGGCCACCAGGCACTTGAGGACGCTCGGGCTTGTCTGCACCATGGCTCCTGCCCTCCCTCGTCTTGCCAGTCCCCGCGGTGGTCGCGGCGAGGGGCCAGGCGAGGGCGTCCAGGGCTTCCACAGCAGGTACTGCCAAACCCCCGCCGCCCCTCCTTCTCCTGCCCCGTCCGAGCTGGCCCCGAGCCGCCGACCTTCTCCAAGGTGCCCGCAGGCATCTCCCGGGCGGTCTTGGTGCAGAGCGAAGGCGCTCCGGAGGCGCAGCCTGGCTGCGGCCCAGCCCGGCGGCACCCTTGGTGCCTTGACCTTGGGCAAGTCTCCGGGCTTTTGGGCGTCTGAGCCAGAGACCCCCCGGGCCCAGCCCCTCCTGGTTGATGCGGAAATACTCTGGCTCTGCTGGGGAGTGCACAGTCTCAGAGTCCCCAGACCCCAGGCCTGTGCCCTCTCTGCAGGGGACAGGTTCACCTCCCCACCCCACCCCCAAAGGCAGTCCTCAGAGACTTTTGGCAAAGACTGGAGGAAATGCTAACAAACAATAAGCACATGTGAGATTTAAAAAAAAAAGAAAAAAAAAGACACTAAAAATCAGAATCACGTAAGTTAAAATAACGACTATGCCTTCCACTAGCCCCAGCACAACCAGACTGGCAAAAAAAGAAGATTGATACCAGCCAGTGTTGGCTGTGGGTTGGAATGTGGGGAGACAGGCATGCACACGCTGCCTGCAACTGTGAATTGCTACATCTTTTTAGGAAAGTAATTTGGCAGTATCTATTAAAATTTAAAATGTTCATCCTCCATGACCCAGCAATCACACTTCTAGGAGTCAAGCCTATAGAGTCTCATTCTCTCTATAAGAGAGAATGGACTCTCTTCTAGGAGTCCAGTCTCATTTCTCTTTGCAGATAGACCAAGAGATGTGTAGTAGGAGAAACAAACACAAGCAAACCCGGATATAACTCGATGCCCATCACTTGGGGACTGGCCGGGGGTAGGGAAGGCACCTCCCCAGTGTGGAATATTATACAGCTATTAAAAAGCGTGAATTGGAGCTTGTGTGGTTGATGTCCATCATACTTTGCTTTGTGAATGAAGCAAGGAAGGGGGAAGAGCCTTATCTATGTGTATATTTAACAAAATCCCTCCAGGACTGCACAGTGTGCTCTGTGGGCAGCAAGGTGAACACTGCTGCTGCTGCGGGAAGACTGGCTGTGAGCAAGCAGCTAAGTGAACAAAATATCATCCAGAGATGGGAGGAGATGGGTCCTGCAGAGGCTGGGGCAGAGCGGGCATTCCAGCGTATCTGGTGCCTCTGAGGAATGGGCACTGGAGCAAAGGGCGAGCAGGTCCCTTTGCCTCTGCCTCTGTGCTCTGTCCCCCGACGTTACTGCAGAGAGACTCCTGCCTCTTCTCTTGCTCACCTTGGCGTGTTTTGACCTGCTCGCAGTCAGCATTTTTTAGACCCATGAAACAAGCCAAGGCAAAAAGGCAAATGGGTCTGGACTGGCCAGACAGCAGGTGTCCCTTAAGCCTGAAATTCCTGCGTTCTGTGCCCCCTGCAGCCCCTTCCCCTAATTTTAGAAATATCTGCAGCTGCCTTTCCCAAGTCTCCACCCCAAAGGCCTGATGGGCTCACGTTTCTGTTTCTAGAAACAGAGCTGCTGCTCCTGGAGGCCTATTTGGCTTTCAGACCCCAGCGGGTGGAGGGGTGGTACTCAGGGCTTCCTCTTTGTAGCCTCTGCAGCTTCCCAGAAGGCCCCCCTACCCTACCCTCAGGCCACCAAGGGCCTGACCAACTTGGGAGAATGGGGGCAGGAAAGGACCCCTGCTCCCCTTTCTCTCCACAAGCAAGGTCCACACTGGAGAGGTGAAGTCCAGAGGCTTGGGGTCTTGCTCAGGGTCAGGCCCTAGGGATGCTCCTGCCTGGGGCTCCAGCAACCCTCAGCCTTTGGAGATGAGTGTTTTGTCCTCATCTTTGCAGATGAGCAAAGGGAAGATCAGAAGGTGCGTGATGGGGGACCGGGTTGGAGGTCTGGCAGTCCCTCAGCGGTCCTGGAGTGACGGGCCCTGTGCTAACCTGAACTGGGGCCCACCCTGAGGACCCCCGGCTGGCCAAGCCTGGGCTGGACTCAGTCTGATGGTGCACATGGTCAGCAGCTGTGATGGGGGAAGTGGGGAGAGGCCTTTGAGGCCTTTAGACCCAAAAGTCAGGGTGAGGCCCCCCACCAGGCAGGAGCCGCTTGGGAGCCTGGGTGGTCTCAAGCAGGGGAGCAGGAAGGGGGCCTCCACCTCAGCAGGAAGAACACTGCCCCCAGCTACACTTGGCCTCGTCTGTGGACCCTCCACTCTCCTTAGGGCCCACAGGAGCCGGTCTGGCCGCGTCCGGGCAAGAAGCTGGGTGACATCACCAGACCCATTTATGGTCCAGGTTTCTTGGAAATCGCACCTGGTTATACATTAACCACCTGGCCCTGGAGGGGGTGGGGAGCCTCAAAGGAGTCCCTGGCCTTTCATCCCCAGAACATGACCCTGCTCAGCAGGGCAGGCACAGAGCTGGGCAGGTGGAGGTGAGCCAGGTAGGAGGGCAGGGCCAGGATCCAAGCAGGGGACGCGACGCCATCCTCAGAGTCTGTGCTCAGGGTGCAGCCAGGGTGGGCATTGCTTCCTCCTGGTGCCCTGTCCCTGAGCTCCGCAAAACCCAAAGGGGAAGTTAGTTAGGATCAGAAAAGGAGCGGGGGCTGCCTTGTGGTCACAGAGCATGCTGGCGCAGGAGACTGAGCTGGTCAGGGAAGAGGAGACCTTGGGTCACCTGATCCCTGCCTGAGATGAGAGCAGAGCAGCCTCCCCCTGTGGGCATCCTCAGGGTCTCCCTTTCCTCCAGGGCCTACTTCCTGCCAGTTTCCAGCTTTCTTCAAATCTGCCACTAGTTCTCTGAAGCCAGGTTTACTGGCTTTAAATCCCAATCCCACTTTGGCCACGTTGGCTGTGTGATCTTACGCAAGTTACTTGACCTCCCTGAGGCTCAGTTTCCCCATCTGTAAGGTGGTGGTCCCTCTCTCACAGGATTGTGGGGAAGACTCAATGTGATGACACTTAGCTGGGCTCATACAGTATCAGTTCTTTTTAGGGGGGGCCCCAATATATAATATATAAACTCTGCCCTGGGCAAAGTACCCACCTGACCTGGCTAATCAGTTGGTGCTTGAGGACTTAGGCTGGTGGGGCAGGCTCAGATGGACAGCCCTGGGAAGGCTGCTTGGAGGAGGGGGCAATGGAGGAGCTGGCCAGCCAGTCACAGAGAGGCGAGTGGGAAGTTGGGAGTCCTAATTTAGGCTCTTAGTAGGCACTCAGCCGCTGAGCAGCTGCAAGCCTGGGGAAAAGGAACCCCCATGAGAAGTGGAAAGTTGAGATCTCCCAGGAGAGCAATTAGGGGGTGATTCAGGCTGGTGCAAAGTCACCTGGAACAAAGGTTGGTGAGCCGTGGATGGAGCTGGGTTGTCTCGGTGTCCAGAGCAAGAGGCAAGGGGACAGTGATACAGCCACACAGGCAGCTGGTGGCCAGAGCACTGGCCCCACAGGGACAAGAACCCACAGAGAATGGGAGGCCACCAAAGGCCCCTCACCTTCATCCTCTGGGGCTCCAAGACCCAGGCCCAGTCAGGGCAGGGGCATGGAGGGGCTGAAGCTAGGCACCTGGGTCTCCATCATGTGCACTGTGGTCCACAGACACCCTTGCCAGTCCTGGCCCCAGAGGAGGGAGAGTTCAGAGTGCCTCACAGGTTGGCAGGGCTCTGGGAAGGGACTGGCTCTGAAGGGCCTGGCTACTCCCATTTGCCCAGGATGGAGCAGCCTGGGCCTGGTAAGTGTGGCCTAGAGTCATTGCTAGCTGACCCTGGGTTAGGGCTCAGGCCTCAGGGTGGCTGGGTGGGCTGGGGTCTCTATCCCTCTCCAGTCCCCCAGGCTAACAGGATAAGCCCTGGCCCACAGGGACCTGTGTGCTGGAGGAAAATAGTCCATGTCCCCTGTCCCCCTCCCCCGCACACACTCTCCAGAGGAACCGGTTCAGAATCAGCTCTGCTGAGACAGAGCAGAGCTGCTGCTTCCCTTTTCTGCCCCCGTCCTCCAGCTGCCCCTCCCCCTGTCCCCTGCTCAGGCCACTGGCCCTGTCCTCACTGACCGACCCCAAAGGGAGCACAGTTCACCCAGTGCTCATTGCACCTTGGGTTCCAGGAGGGGACACAGGACCCCCTCCCTCCTTGAAGCAGCTCCTGCACTCCGGAGACTGTGCCCCTGAAGAGGAGGCAGGCCAAGAAGAGGCAAGGCCTGGGCTAAGGCCACTTCTGCAGACCCTTCCAGGCCACCATCTCCTGCTCCTCTGGTTGACCCTAGCCAAAGCCTTCTGGGTCGACCCTCTCATCGGCGATTCCATTTTCTGGAATTTATCCTGGGGCCCGTCACAGGTGTTCCCAGAGCGGTTTGCAGTGACAAAATGTCCATGGCAAAGTGTCCTCGTAGGGGACTGCGCAGCTCGCCTGGGCGGCCCTTCCGGGGACTCCGGGGCTGTCAAAAGCCTGCGGAACGGGGCCCTGCCCTGTTCCCAGCCTTTATCAACAGCGCCCGTAGGAAGAGTCTGGAAGGACTGCAGCAGCTCGGCGGCGGGACAGTGGGGCTTTCAGTTTGTTTTTTGCACAAGTAGATATAAAGCAGAGAGTCCGAGCACGAGGCGCGCTCCGGTGGCCGAGAGGGACGGCCCGTGGTTCCCGGGGGCCCGCGCGCGAGGGGCGGTACTCCATGACGTCATCAGCGGGCGCCGCGCACCAGGCCGGAGCCGGAAGTGCTGTGGTAGTGGCGCGGGGCCACGTGCAGACCCTCCGGGAGTCGGAGCCCGACGAGCGTCGCCGGTGAGACTCCGCAGGGCCAGGGTGGCAGTGCGCGGGTGGGGGTCGCCCTGCACTTCCCTGCAGCCTCTCATGGCCGCCCCCAGCCCTGTGCCAGCCTGGCCTGAGCCGCCCCCTGCCTCTACACAGGCCAGGCCAGTGTTTCTGTTTACTGCCCCCTGCACGTCCCCAACCTCTGCTTGCGAGCCCTTACATCTGCATCCCCCTGCCACTTGTCTGCCCAGGAGCCCGCCATAGGGGAAACTGGGAAGAGGGGGCGTTCTGCCTGGCGTGGAGGTGACCTCACGGGCCATTTGCAGCTCTTCCCTAGGTAGTCGCTCTCTCATCCTACAGCTGGAGAATGGGAACCAAGCTCCTGGAGAAGGGTGATAAGAGAGAGGGTCAGGCCCTTACTTTGTGGGAATCCTTGGGCCCCTCCTCTGTCAGTGTAGGGCCTCAGTTTCTCCATCTGTGATTTGGGCTGATGGCTTTTTTCTTAAGACCACACCAAGAAGGGCTTCAAATGTTAGGCCAGGGTGCAGCCCTATTGGGCTGTCCTAATGGACAGTGCCAGGGACTGAGCCAGCTACTCCACCCCCATTGCTCAGGATCTGGGCCTCACAGCCTTCTCTCTGGACCCCAGGTGCATATCCTGCTTTCTGGCCCCCTTACATGTTCATGCCGACACACCTCCCAGGTCCCTGGCACCTGCCAGACAGCAACACCATGAGCTTCGTGGCGTATGAGGAGCTGATCAAAGAGGGTGACACAGCCATCCTGTCACTGGGCCATGGTGCGATGGTGGCAGTGCGTGTGCAGCGTGGGGCCCAGACCCAGACCCGGCACGGCGTCCTTCGGCATTCAGTAGACCTCATTGGCCGCCCCTTCGGCTCCAAGGTGACCTGCGGCCGAGGTGGCTGGGTGTACGTGCTGCACCCCACACCTGAGCTCTGGACACTGAACCTGCCACACCGCACCCAGATCCTCTACTCCACCGACATTGCCCTGCTCACCATGATGCTGGAGCTTCGGCCAGGCTCTGTGGTCTGTGAATCGGGTGAGTTCTTCAGGTTGCCTCAGTTCATGAAGGTGGAGGTCAGACCCACTGTCCAGCCAGCCTCCAGCCTGCCCTTCCTGAACACAGGCATTATTACTCAACTTCTGTTTTAACAGGGTCTTTCTGGGGGTGCTGACCGCAGGGAGTGAGGGCAGAAGCAAGGAAGCCGGTTAGGAGACTGGTGCTGTACTCTGAGAGTTGATGGGACTGGACCAAGGCTAGCCCGCTGGAGGAGCTGGTGCCCAGGGGGGATCCTACTTGTCTAGGTGGGGTGGGGGGTGTGAACGCTGCTCGGCGCTGACCGAGGGCAGAGGGTGCCTGGCCTGGCCGTCCCTGACTGCTGCGAATGGGAGCCCCAGGCCCAGGGCTGAGAGTGCCCCTTCCTGGAGGGAGGCCAGGGCTGCTTCAGGGTGCTCACTGTGGGTGAGGAGCCAGCCCCGTGCTCATCCCAGGCCAGCACCATTGTCCCTGAGCCCAGAGCCTAGAGTGCAGATGGAAGTGCCTGAAGGCAGCTGTTCCCAGCCTCTGCACATGTGTGCGCCCGCGTACACACACACACGCAGGTGCTGGGGATTGAAGCATGCACCCTAGCCAAGAGCAGCCCAGGCCCAGGTGTGCCTAGATTTCCAGCATGTTTTTCGTGGGCCGGGCATCTGGGTTCCAAAGTCACGAAGAGTTCCCCGTAGCGCTGCTGCCAACATTTGGAGGCTTCAAGCCATCTGCATCCCTCTCTTTGTCCACGTGGAGGGCCTCAGTTTCTCCATGTGGACAATTGGATGGTTCTTTTTGCCCAGCCAAGCACTTTGAAATGGGGAGAGTCAGATGCAGAGCCTGGGCAGTGAGCGGGTCAGAGAGTGGGTGGGGCCTGGGCAGAGGCTGACTGCTAGGCACCAGGGCAGCTGGGGGGTGGACGGGATTCAGGGCCAGCTCATCCCCTGCTTCCCCCTGTGCATCCGCAGCCAGGGCCTCGCTCCACTCGGCTGAAAAGTGCTGTCGGCGAGCGTGCTTCTGGGCTCCTCTGATGCGCCAGCTTCCCTTCTAGGAACCGTGGCTACAGCCGTGACCAGACAGACCAAGTTTCTGCTTCTCAAAGGGGACAGACAGGAAGCCCACTGTGACCGTTACGGTGTTGTTGATTGCTGGGGGGCTTGGGGAACAGGGCTGCGTGTTTGAGGGTGACTCAGAGAGGGGTCCCTCCAGCTAGGGGTGTCAGGGAGGACCTCTCTGAGGAGGGAGCAGTGAGTTGAATGTGGTTGAATGTGATGGGAAGGTGGTACCAAGAGCCAAAGGGGAGGGTCACCCCAGGGAGAGTCTTGCAGAGACCCTGCGCGAGGGGCCGTCAAGGAGACCAGCGTGGCAGGAGCAGGGATGAGGTCAGGGAGGAAGGGGGTGCTGCTCGGGAGTCACGAGGAGTCCGACTCCGCCGTGCGTGGAAAGGGCAGAGGCCTGGTCTGACCGCGGGGAGAGAGAATCCGCGGCTGTGTTGAGGTGGACTGAAGGCGGGGGTCAGGGGCTGTCACGGGGAGCCGGGAGCGGGGCCCGGGCGGGCACGGCAGGCAGGTGGGGAGAAGGGCTCCCAGAGAGATGGGGGAGGAGGTGCAGGAGTTACCTGTGGGGAAGGGGAGGGCTCCTCCGAGGCATCTGGCTGGGCAGTCATGTCACCAGCTGGTTCGGGAGGCTTGGCAGGGAGTGGATTTGGGCTGGATCGGGTCCAGCTCTGCACCTGTAAATGCTGGGCGCTGTTTGCGGTCGCGGGGGAGGTGATCGGTGTGCAGTGGGCGCCCGGGCGTCTTCGTGAGGCCTGGCGCCTGGAGCAGCGAGGTGGGGGAAGGTCACGGGGGGTGACCGGAGGACGCAGGCCCGGCTGGACACTGCAGGACAGGAAGGCTGGCAGAGGGGCAGCCGTGAAGGAAGCTGAGGAGTGGCCCGTGAGGCTGGGGGAAAACAGAGACGATGACGTGGGGGGCACATTGGTCACCGTGTCTCTGGTCGCGCAAGGTGAGGGCAGAGCTGCACCCCGTGTGGTGGGAGCGGATCGGGGGGGGAGCAGGAAGGTGGACTGACCTGAGTCCCTCGGGGAGCTTGGGCCCAGCCACCACGTGGGACGATTCCAGTCCCCTTGATCTGCTCTGCACAGAGCCTGCAGGGCCACGGGCCAGTCCCGGCCCCTCTCGGGACCCGTCTTCGGGGCTCCAGGTCTGTGCAGCAGAGTCTCTCCAGAGCCAGGGGTGGTCAGGGCTGCCACCCTCCCCGCTGGACCCACGGCGGACATCGATGATCAGTCAGCTCCCTCCTCTCCCCCTGCCACACATGCAGCCTCCGTGTCCCAGGACCCCTCAGGGAGCTCCAGACTGGTGCCTGCTGGTAACCCGGGGTCGGCTGACCTCGTGGGCCCTTGATGGGTCCCTCATAGTGCGGGTGGGCTCGTTTCCCGTCTGACACCCGTCCCGTCCCGCTAGGCACCGGCAGCGGCTCCGTGTCGCACGCCATCATCCGCACCATCGCACCCACGGGCCACCTGCACACGGTGGAGTTCCACCAGCAGCGGGCGGAGAAGGCTCGGGAGGAGTTCCAGGAGCATGGCGTGGGCCGATGGGTGACCGTGCGCACCCAGGACGTGTGCCGCAGCGGCTTCGGCGTGAGCCGCGAGGCGGACGCTGTCTTCCTGGACATCCCCTCGCCTTGGGAGGCCGTGGGCCATGCCTGGGACGCCCTGAAGGTTGAAGGTGAGCGGGGGGGGGGGGGGGGTCTGGGAGGGGTGTGGCCAGGCCGGGGCCACTTTCGGCCTGAGCGGGGGTGGGTCAGGGCAGCGGGGGAGTCATGGGGAGGTCGCCCAGGGAGAGGGTGAGGGTGAGAGGGGTCAGGACTGGGGAGGGTGGGCCTCCACCTGGGCTCCTGCCCCTTGGCCTGGCCCCACTCCCACCCCAAGGTGGGAGGTGTCTCGGGTCCCTGGGGAATGTGGCATCCCTGCCTGAGTGAGAGGCGGGCCCTGCACCCCTGGGCTTGCCAGAGGTCAGAGGGCAGCCCCTCACCCCAGCCAGTGCCTGCAGAGTCTCCCTTCCCCACCCGCCGCCACAGCCAGGCTAATGCGCCCCTTTTAGGGAAGATGCTGGGTGCAGAGGCTGGAAGGTCGGCTCTGAGCCAGGAAAGTGCTGGCGAGGCCCTGGGTTTTTCCCTTTTCTGGAGAAGTTGTTGGCTCAGGCAGCCGGGCCGTCCTCCTGCCCGCTGAGCAGTGCAGCACGAGGGGGCGGGAGAGGCAGGCCAGGGCGCCCCAGGGAAGGCCTGCCCCTCGGAAAGACAGACGCCAAGGCGGCCATAGGGTCCCAGCGGGGCCCCTGCCTGCTGGCTCAAGCTCAGCCCTGGACTCCTGTGTCCTGGTCTCTGCTGAGGTGGCCTGGGGCTGGGGAGAGGGGCAGCGCTGGCTTCCCCACACCTCTGCCCGCTCCGGCTTTGCCCCCTGGACACCTGCAGGTCCTCGCTGCTCCAGGGACACCAGCGGGCCCAGGCCTCGGACCCCAAGGCCGCAGCCGGTCGCGCAGCCGTGGCTGAGCCCAGGCAGTCCCTGCCCTGGGCTCCCTCCTGCCGAGGGAGCCATGCTGTGTGTTGTCCCGTCCCCTCCGCCCCGCTAAGCCCCGTTCTCTGGATCTGCTTGTTCTGGCCCAGAGGCTCCCGACTTCCTCGTGGGTCTGGCGTTTCTCCAGCTTGGCCCGGCGAGGTGCGGCCGCGGGCTCGCTGGGCCTCTGGCTGACGAGCAGGCTCAGGCCCCAGTTCCTCGGCTGTGTGCACAGGGGTTGCGTCCCCTCTTGGGGGTGACCCTGTGCCCTCTGGGTTCACGTCAATCTCACGCTCTGCCTCCAAGCCCAGGCCTCCCAGCTGACCACCTGGGGGTCTGTGTCCCACGTGTGGCTGAGGTGACCAGGCCTCAGGGACCTCTAGGGGCTGGCCTGGGCCACGTCCCTTCCCCTAGCCAGCCTGCTGGATGTGTGGGCGAGCCCTGGTGGGAGGCGGCAGGAAGGGGCTGCGGCTCCCGCCCCCTCTCCCTCACCCTTGGTCCGTGGGGCTCCGCTCAGAGTGGGCACCTCGTGTTCCCAGGAGCGGGCGACAGCCTGTAATTTCCTGTGACAGCCGCAGCCCCCGCCCCTGAGGCTGCTCTGTGTGGTTGAAGCTGTTCAGGCCCAGCACTCTGGCGGCTGCCGTGCCAAGGCTCCGCGCTGGCCCCGACCCTCAGCTGCCTGGTGGGAATCGGGGGTGGCGGTGCCCTCTGGAAGCCCAGGGAGATCAGGGCGGTGGGCTGGGCCTGCAGCGGCGCGCGAGGGCTTTGTTTGGGCGGGGCCCTGCCCTGTGGCTGCAGAGGAGCTTTTGCCCCGGGCCGGCCCGGCTCCCCTACCCTGGGGCCGCTGGGGCCGCAGCTCTTCGTGGCCAGAGGGCTTGGTGGGGGCTTCATGGCCTCGGACCCCAGGGCAGGGGTCGGGGCGTCCACCCTCCTCAGCTCGCACAGTGGGGTCTCGCAGCGCCCACTCCCGAAGGGACTGGGGGTGCATTGCCTCTGCCCTGCAGTCCCAGGCCGCAGACGCCCGGGCCAGAGGAGGCTGCCAGGCGGGCGGGGCTCTGAGGGCGGCCCCTGCCCTCTGACCCCGTGTCCTCCTCCTGCGCAGGCGGGCGCTTCTGCTCCTTCTCCCCGTGCATCGAGCAGGTGCAGCGCACGTGCCAGGCGCTGGCGGCCTGCGGCTTCTCGGAGCTCAGCACCCTGGAGGTGTTGCCCCAGGTCTACAACGTGCGCACCATCAGCCTGCCCGCGCCCGACCTGGGGGCCAGTCCGGGCCCCGACGCCGGCCCCTTCCGCAGCGGCATGCCCATGAAGGAGACCGTGGGCCACACCGGCTACCTGACCTTTGCCACCAAGACCCCGGGCTAGTGAGCCGCCTGCAGGAGCTCCAGGGAGCTGGGAGCACCGCGGGGCCGGACGGGGAGGCGAAGCTCAGCCAGAGGCTGCCTTATATGGTCGGCGGGTGCCAGCCGGGGCCTGTGTTTAGAAACCGACGGACGCGGGGTGGGGCGGGGCCGGGGGCCTCCCGGGCGGCTGAGTGGGGCTGCCACGGTGGAACAGCATCCGGCCCCCGGGGAGGGAGGCCTCCCGCCCACGTCACCGCCGTGGTCAACGTCCCCGTCCTGCTGCTCTTTGTTGCCACTCACCGTCTCCACTGCCGTAGGCTCTCCTGGATGTTGAGGCCCGAGAGTGCAGGTGGCGGGGTGCAGGTCTGACCCTTCCCAGGTGGCCCCAAACGAGGAGGGAGGAAACGGGGGTTGCAAAGACCCGGAGGAGGAGGGCCAGGGACCTCCATGGTCCAGCTGCCCGGCATCTGAGGCGACCCCGCTGTGTGGCCTCAGGTCTGACCCCACCCCTCTGGGCAGTGCACAGGCCGCGTGGGCATGTCCCCAGATTCCCGCTGGCGAAGGGGCGGGGCAGCCCCGCTGATTCGCTTCTGCCTCTGGGAAGTACCTCTGCGGCCCTGGCCCAGCCAGAGCCCTCTCGTGTCAATGCGTGCGAACACGCAGCGTCATGTAGGGAAGAGCTGGGCAGGGCGGGAACGTGCTTCCGGTGGCTGGCCAGTCGGGTCAGAGCCACTCGGTGCCCCTGCCGCTCACAGGAGCCGCAGGGATGTGGGGATGGGGGCGTGCACCCTGGATGGAGGGGGCGACGCCAACCCTGCCCTGGCCTGCTCTCCAGCTCTGGTGCACGGCTGGCATCCCTCCCGCCCTGCTGCTCGAAGGGCCTGGGTGCCTGCCCTTGGCCTCAGCCAGCCGTCAGGAGACTCGGTGACCCCAGGTCGGCGTGAGAGCCCCAGGGTACCGGGCTGGCCTGAGGCTGGTCCCCGACCACCCCTGGCAGAGAAATAAAACACTGTTGCCCCTGCTGTGCTGACTGGTCCACCCTGGTGCCCCATGAGGCCAGACCTCCACTCCCCACACCAGCATCCAGGCTGGACCTCCCTGCACGTGGCCCCCCGGCCCCTGCTCCTTCCTCTCCCAGGGCAGACACCACAGGGGCTCTGGACTCCAGGACAATGGCCTGGGACATGGTGGACAAAGGGACAAGTGTGTGGCCACCCCCACCCAGCTGCAGAAAGGGCCACTTGTTCCTGGGAAGGGTGGGGGCGGGGGGGGGGGAGAGAGTCCCTGGCTGTGCGTGTGTGTGTGTGTGTGCACGCGCGTGTGTGTGTTTCCTTCCGTCCATGTCCGGCTGGGCCTTCCGTCTGCAGCCCGGCCTGGGCACCTGGGTTGCCCCTCTTGTTGCCAGAAGGGCCCAGAACTCAAGAAGGACCTCCCAGGCCTGCTGTCCTGGCCCCAGGCCACCACCCAGGCTTTGGGGGTCCTTGGAGGGATACCAAGTGAGGTGGGCCTACAAGAGGACCAGTCTCCTGCTGGCAGCATCACAGGGCCAGGGGCGCCTTCTGTCTTCTGGTAAGACCTGTGTCCCCTCGGAGACCCTAGTGTCCCTAGAAGCCCTTGCCCTACTCCAGGGGTCATATCCCCCCTTCAAGGACCTGTCCTGACCTCTGACCAAATGCCTAGTCTGGGGACAGAGGAGGGACCTGGGCTTTCCTTGGCCTTCAGGAAAGGCCTGTGAGGTGTCTGATGTAGGGCATAGGCCTCCTCTGCAGGCCTGGCTCTGCCTGTTCTCCAGGGCTTCGGCTGGCAGGCTAGACTATGGCCCTGGGTGAGTCACTGGAGCCTGCACTTGGGTCCGTGTGAGGTGGAAGGGAAAGCCCAGGATGGATGAAGGACGGAGGGCCACCAGGGTAGGGGTCAGGAGGCCTGGATCCCTGTCCACGCTTGCAGTTGCATGCACAGAGCTGCTCTCAAGTATGGGGCCCTCCAGCCCCTTGACTGTCTGCCAGGCCCTGCACACGAGCCCCCAGGGCTCCACTGGGCCTCTATCCCATGCCGGGGGCCTCAGCCTGGAGCCCCACCTGGCCGCAAGCCAGCAGTGAACTCCTGCGCATCCTTCAAAGCCCCTCAAGTGTCTCTCAGAGCTTCCCACCCCCACACACCGAGGCAAGAGCGTCTTGCTCAACCACGTCTTCTGCTCCCACACATCCCATGCTGGTGATCAGCCCTGTAGGGCTGCCCCTAGCCTGGGAGCCCCTTCAGGCAGACAGCAGAAGCCAAGCGGCCTCACAAACCGCACATGTCCGTGGTGAGTGACCGATCAGCAGGTCACTTGGTCACCTCCTCGAGGCAGGAGCCTAGGGCTGGTCACAGGACGAGGATTCACCCGGAAAGTCCCCGTCCAGCCCCAGACTCCCACCTCTGGCCTTCAGTTTTTCCTCGGAAATTCCTGCGCCTGCCCAGCCCTGGTCTGAGTGGCTGAGACGTGACACATCAGCTCCCTCCGCTGCAGCCCCCGCTCCCAGGTCTGAGCCCGGGAAGCAGATGGCCACTCAGACTCACTCACCTGCCCTGAGGGCCCTGGGCCAGGATCCCACCTTCGGGCCAGGATCAGGGCCTGCCTCTGGGCTGTCTCCAGCTGCCTCCCCCCGGAAGCCCCCCGGGCTTTGCCCCTGCAGCCCCAGTGTGAGCTGCTCCTGTCCTCCCTGTGCTTCACCGTCACCTGCCTTGGAGGGGCTCGTGCCCTGCACCCAACCTGGGGCAGTGTGGGCTGGGGGCTCGGGGCGGTTGTTGGATGGGTGTTGGTTGGTTCAAGGGATGCCAGGCCCCTGGAGGC